TTAGCTAAACTTAGTTTCTAAATCATTTTCCAAATAAATTACGCTATAATTTTTCGACAGGAAAACAAAATTGGATAATTAATTAGGTTAACGTATGATTCAAGGTTCACTACAAGAAATCAAACCCCCAAAACTATGGTTAAGTCCTATGCTATCAGAAATCATTTAGATGTTCGAGTTGTTACATATGTTCTCAATTAGAGATCACTAGTGATTTAATGAAGTTGGCTCTAGTTTTTATGTTCGAACCTCGTAAAGGCCTACATATTTTCTTTAGTTTTTCACCATAAGATGATGATACATGATGTCATTTTATGCCATAGCAGTTGCCGTCGACGGGAGTGATTATAATGAAAGCGATATTGGAGTTCAGTGACTTCAATGCAAGTTTTAAATGTCTAATGACTAAAGAGAAAGTTATCTAGACATTCAGGAACCACCAGTTTAGTTTACCCTAAAATAATCATTTGCGTTAATTTTAATTTACTGGTAATGGACTCATATCGAGAAACCTATATGCTATACTGCAAATACAAAAGTTTCTCCCATAGCAAATTAGCAATGTAGGAAAAAGATGGTAAATTTTTTTCAGATAATGGTGGCTGTATTAATTCCTTAAGAAACACGACAACAAACAGCTAGCCATGAAGAAGAGAACCGAACAACGAAAAGACATTTTCTTAAAGACAATGGCTCCACTGTTTGTTGCAAGAGAAATCAGAGGCATACAAGCTGTTTGCTCTAGGTAATTTTGTCTCCCCGTGGTTCCGTTTCTTCTTCACAAGCAACAACAATGGCCGCCAAAACTACGACTTCAAGATTTCCTTCACCTCTTATCTCTCGTTCAACTAATACCACACCGCCTTCTACGGCGCCTCATTCGCTTCCTAAACGGTGTCAATCTGTGGACCGACGGCGAGTGTCCAAAGGAAACAATGTCAATGCTTCGGAACCAAAGGTTGCTACGAAGATTTCAGTTACTTCAACGAAAAGTTTATTGGTTTCGTTTCAACGGGAGTCCTTTTCACTTAAAACCAAGACTCAAGCGAGTGATCATGGGGAGAATTCGAAGCCAGTGGATCGGCAGCTCTGGCAGGAGAGAACCCGGAAAGCGAATTCTGGTTTGAATATGTTGTCGAGAAGTTCGGATTGTGATGGTGGAAAGAAGATGTTTGAATATAGTGAAATGCTGACTAAGTCATTTCAACGAGCAATGATGCTTAATGAGAGTAGGAGGAGGGTTCCCGTGTCTCCCAAGAAAACCTCTGATACTGATTGTGTCAATGAGCCTTATCGGGTATCATCAAGTGGTTTCGAAAAGAATTCAAAAGGGAGGGCTGGATCTCATAATATCATGGCACCGGCGAAAGTTAGGCATAAAACCGATAGCACGTTAAGGTGGTCATCAGATCCAGATTCGACTAAGTTCAGTCAATCAAAAAGGATTTCTAGTAATGGTAGAATGTCTTCACCTATTAGGGGTGGCATAAGGCCTGCTCGGGTCGTTATTTCCATTAATTCCACTTCGAATGTTGGCCTTTCCGTCGATGTTCAAAGAAAAAAGATAGGGGAGACTCGGAATGACGATGCATATGTTGAGGCTTCTTTATAATCATTACTTGCAATGGAGATTTGTAAATGCAAAGGCAGATGCTGGTTTCATGGTGCAGAAACGGGGAGCAGAGGTATGGTTATTGTTCTTAACTTGTAGGCCAATGCTTCAATTTACTTCACTGTGATAGTTTTTAAAACAAGCTGAACTCATACTAGTTTATGGTAAGGATTACCTATAATGCAAGCTTATGGTACTCAGACTCGGTCTTTAGCATCGGAATACGAATATATGTCCGACACGGTATGTTGAGTTTTCGGAAAGTCATATCCCTACAGCACCTAGATGCAAGTGGCAGCTTTTTCTTTTATAAACAGTGATCCTTTCTCTAACGTTCCCTCTTTTGTACCAGAAAAATCTGTGGAAAACATTGGTTAGAACATCGGAGCTGTGGAATTCGGCCACCTTCAACCGAATCAAGTTGATGTTGCTAAGGCAAAGACTGAAACTGTTTTCCATACTTAAGGGACAAGTAAGATTCAAAAACTTCATGTTTAGGAAGTATTGAGTCAATAGTGCATATAATTCGTGTCGCACATAAGCATATCCAACACTCGCGTCTGTGTCCTAGTAGCACAGCTGCGGGACATTGGTTCTAATTCGACGCTTCCACGGTTCCTCTTGTTTCCCTGCTTCTACTTCTTACTGCATGCTTGTATGAAAATATGGAATTCGGTTGATTTTCGATTAAACTCTGCTATAATCGATGAATGTAGATGGTATATTTAGAAGCGTGGGCTGTCCTCGACAACGACATGTCCGGTTCATTGCTAGGAGCAACCGAAGCATTAAAGGCATGCACTCTTCTTCTTCCAATCGTCGGGAAAGCATCAGTAAGTTCCAAGCTTCTGGTTTGCTGTGCTTTTCGATATACAATCTAGTAACAATTCAGCTGACGGAATGTTGCTCCGGCTTCTCTCGTAACAGATCAATATCCAAAGTCTTGAGGATGCTATAGGTTCAGCAGTTGATGTTATGCAGGCAATGGCATCCCCAATAAGCTCATTATCATCAAAGGTAAACTTCACTATCACAAAAAGATCATTAGTCTTGTTGCCCTTTAATACGACACTTGAGTTCGAGTAACATGTTAAACGGTAATAACGAAATCTCCGAACCTAAAAACGGGGACGAAAGAAGATCAGAGAACAACGGAAATTGTGACTATGTATCACTTTTCCCGTGCAGGTGGAGGAAATGAGTTGCTCAATGGATGAACTTGTGAATGTGAGCGCTAATGAAAAGGTTTTGCTTCAACAATGTAGAAATCTTTTGACGATGCTGGCAGCGAATCAGGTTGAACGATGAGTTTTTCTTTCTTTTCCATGCTATTCTTGCCTTCATTTCTTCATTTGGCTCATTGGAGATCTTTTCAATAGGTCAAGGAGTGTTGGTCGAGGACGCATTTAATTCAGTTAAATCATGTTACAAGCGCTGATCGAGTATATTTTACTTAAATTTAATTATCATAATTAATTACCGTATAATTAAAAAAATATCATATTAGAGTATACATTTTTAGTCAATAAGTTATATATGGACTAATACTGTAATTTAACTAAAAAATATTTATAACAGAAAATGTGAAAATCGTTAATCGATGTAAGTTATTCTTCCCCAAAGGCTCATGAAGCTAATCAAAGCTTCGATATTTAGTTTCGGTGTATAAAAAATAAATTTTCCATATTCATTTCAACTCAGATCTTTCCTTCTCTATGTCTTGATTTTATGCTTGACCTTAAACCCTAGCTAATTTTCAACTTAATCCACTTCTAAAGTCGGTTACGGAATCGAATTTATCAAGTGATTCAATCCCGTGCTTGATCGCTTATATATGCAATGGCGGTCTGCAAATGCCGCAAGGTATGTTTTCTTTAACCAATCTGTATCAAATATTTGATCACTTGATAAAACTCATAGCTACTATTACCATTGTAGATTTATAGTTCTTGCTGGTGATTTATTATTATTATTTCTTTTTCTTGAGAAATATGTGATGGAATTCATAATTCATCTCTGGAGGTTTTAGATCTATCAGAATATGTTTTTATCGTCTTAAAGAATTTAGCATTTTTTCTTCAGATCTTCGTTCTTTTAATTGTGGAGCTTATTAATTGGATATGCTAATTTGAAATGAATGAATCGAACAGAGGGGGACACTGACCTTGATGTTGGGAGGTTCAAGTGGATTTTTTTGCTTGTTATGTTATGTTATGAATATACTCTAATTTTTTTTTAGAAAAGTGTGTTGGGAGGTTCAAGTGGACTGTCGCTGGAGGTTTTAGATCTATAAAAAAATTTGTTTATCGTCTAAAAGAATTTAGGACTCTTCAGATCTTTCATTTTGGAGTTTACTCATTGGAAAATGTGGGTTTGACTACTTTAATGGATGAATTGAACAGACGAGATGTTGACCCTGATATTCAGAAGGTTTAAGTGGAATGTAGCTTGTTGGTATTAGGTTATCAGTGTGTATAGCATAGGTTAAGTTTTAGAGCTGATGTTTGGTTGAGATCAAGATTTGAGATATTTTTGTTTATCATCTAAAGAATTTTGGACTTTAAGATCTTTTTTGTCTAACTTTTGGAGTCTATTAATTGGAAAATGTGAATTTGATTACTTTAATGAATCAATCAAAGAGGGGAACATTGTTGATATTTGGTGGGGGTTCAAGTGGAATGTGGCTTGTTATGTTATGAATTTTCAAGCTTGTGTTGCATAGGATAAAATTTATAGCTGATGTTATTTGGTTGAGATCAAAGGTTTGCAAATTTCTCATTATGTAAATATCCATTTTTCCTTTCGGAGTTTCAGTTGACAAAATTATATTGTTTTGTGCACAAGGTCCCTGTTTGTGGAGAATGCATCTGTTTTCCTGAGCACCAAATATGCGTGGTAAGTTATAACATTCTGTTCATTTTGCAAGCAAAACTGTATTTCCAACTTCCAAGCACTTTGATTGGTTTAAATGAAAAAATGTTTGCGCTTCAGTGACTATGAGAAAACAAGGAAGTGAAAACAATAATAATCCTATTTATACTTGGAAAAGTAAGGAGTGGCGTGCAGAGTTGAACTTCTCTTGTAAAAGTAATTTTTGGGTCATTAACTGATTTCTGGTTGATGTAAAACTTTTCTGCAACTATATGTCTTTGGGATATGTTAGATTTGTTAATAAAATTATATTTACTTTATGATAATCTCTACTGTATGCTATATCATGAAAAAAGTTTTTGTTGTAATGTCAATATGCCCATTTCGGCTCTGTTTATTTAACAGTGTTATGAAACAATTTCATATTGAGTGTTGTATAGAATGGTGTTCTGTAGCTTATAATGTATTTTTCTTCCCACTTTGCTTTAGATTCGTACTTAATCCGAATGGGTAATAAATGGAGAGTATAACTGGCTTTCCAAGTGTTTCAAATGCCAAGCTGTGCTTCGGGAGGGGGATGGCTCTGAAACTACTCTGTTGGGTTGCTTAGGTATGTGTTTATGCTTACATGGATACTGCCTCTAGTGTTTTTTTTTTTTTGGGGGTGGGGGTGCAGAACGCAAGTGTGACTCGTGCTGTTTAATCTTATTTCATATTTTTGCTTTCCTAGATGTCATACACACAAATTGTTTAATTTCACTCGTCAAAAGTTTTCCACTTCACACTGCACCCGCTGGCTATTCTTGTCCTTCATGTTCTATATCTGTAATTTTTCTAATCACCATAAATCAGCTGTTTCCTAGCAACATGCTTATGTTTAATATTGTTTCAACTGATAAATATGAATTTGCGAAATTGATTATGACGCAGCTCTTGAACCTTTCAGGTAGTTGGAAGCATCTAGATGCTAAATGTGTCTATGCTTGAAAACATTGATGGATAACAGATGGTTAACAGTGATAAAAACTATTTTGATGCTGCTTGCTTCTGCTTTTGGAGCTAGTCATATAAGTAGTTAGTGGATTAAAACTATTTTGCTGATTAGCATTTTTCTGATCATTTTCACTGTATATATTTGAAAATTTTCCATGGCATAATGGAAGCAGAGGTTGATATTTAAAACGGAACAAAATGTAAATGAGATTATCTCATATGCAAGAAGTCTTCTGATTATCGTTACTTAAGGAATAAGAACTCAAGACCATACAATTTTCATGTGCATTCCTGAATTTGTTCACTGATTGATATGCTTGTATTATGGCTGTTATGTAGATGGTTTGGGTTATAACTTACGTCTGTAAGTATTTGTTCTCCGGCTTGCCTCATTTTTCAATGGTTTTTTGCCCAGATATGGCCTCCCAAGAGTGTTAAAGATTCAGCATCCCACCTTCATTCACTGCTGAAGGAGGCTATCATGCAGGTCGGTTCACACTCGATTTCTGCTGTTTGAGAAAAAATGCTCCTTCTAAATGTAAAGTGAACTTTAGATATCCTTTTTCTTTTGATATTTTTCTTATCAATATTTTCTTCTGCATTTTCTTAAGTACATCCTTTGCTTCATTATCATATTACCCATCGGTGCTTCTGTAGTCGTACCCTTCCCACTTGCTACTTGTAAATTATAGTACAGTTTCTATGCTTTTCAGCATGTGTTGGTCAAGCTTTATTTTGGCCTTTCAGTGTGGTTGACATATAAGTTTAGGGATTTAATTGTTACCCCGGTAGAGGTTTCCAAAATTGATGCCATGAATTCTGTTAAGGAATTTTTTCCTGTCAAACGTATTGATCAGCAGACCCAGCTGTTCCCAATGAAAATTAATTTAAAAAGTAGGCATAGTAATCTATAGCAAAAATTTTTCTTTCCTAGTCCATTAAAAGCATTGAACTATGAAATAGCTTCTTAATCTAATTCCAAAGCTATTTTAGGATTATAAAACTCAAATTTTAGCCACTAGAATGTTGAAGATCCCAGTGTGTGCAGTGGCCACTCAATCTTTTGACGTTTCTAAATGCCAAAGGGCATTGACTACCTCTGAAATTAACATCTAAATATTATCCTTAAGAAGTGTTCCAAAGAAAAAGGTGATTTGGAAGATTGGAGATTTGACATGCTCTGTTGCAGCTTTATATTGGGCTTTTCATTTTAGCTTGAATATATTGTATGATTAGAGTTCTATCAATTTTCATATCTGCTTAAATAAATTTTATGCAACTTAAGTTGCTAATGTGCAGACTGGCATGGAGAAGAATTTGTTTGGAAATCATCCTCCACCTGCATTTGCTTCAGATCCACTGATGAACATGAACTCTACCGGAGGAAGGGAGCATGGTGGGAATTCGTCACCTGCTGTGTCAAAAGATGAAGGATACTCGACTATTGGAGGACCTTCTAAACTTACGGTGTCCGAAATAACAGAGATAGATGGTCTTGTTTCGGCTGAGAATTACATGAAAATCTCTAGTCCAGTTGGTGCAAGTTTTATTTTTGTTAATTGTTGGATGTGAACTAACTTGTTCGAGTCATATTTTGATTTGCCTGCTTGTATGTGCCAATTCTCGTACATTAGCTTTTTGTCTTCTTAACTTGGGTGCTCCGCTCCATGCCACCATGTGACCCAGCCTGTGGCTACAACACGTAAGAGTACAGTTCATGTTGATAAACAAAATCCAGAAATCTCATATTATGCCGATGATGAAGATGGAAATAATAAAAAGTATTCTCAAAGGGTAAGGTAAAAGAAGCCTTTGTTCATGGTGCCATATATTTTATGCTCTGATCTCAAATTCGTGTTTCGTACCATCATTTTTATAATCTGTTGTTGTAGGTTCACCACGCCATAAGTTTCTCAGAGCATTGATTCCCTTCTGGTCAAGTGCATTACCTACTCTACCGGTGACTGCACCTCCACGTAAAGATGCAGATGGTGGCCCTGAAGGTCGGTTGAAGCATCAGAGGTCAATGCAGATGGATCCACGAAAAATCCTTCTTGTCATGGAAATAATGTAAGTCTGCACTTTTGTTTATCTTCTGTTTGTATGCGCCAATGCCATGCTAATCACTCACATTCAAATGCACGCAGAGATGTACCTTTCTCATGCATGCATTTGCCCTTCTCTTATAAATACGCATTTCTCTTTGTGCTTATGCAATGCATCTTTTCTTATGAGATACCAATTAAGAGGGTGAGATAAAAAAAAATGATCTCTGAAAATTGTGTAAGTAGATACGGTATTTGGATCTCGGGTAAAGTACACTAGAAGTCATTGAACTATGCTAAAATGATTGTTTTGATCACTGAACTTTTAAAATTCATAAAATGATCAATGGTACAAATAGGGATGGGCATGGGTCGAGTTTTTGGTCCACCCGACCCGAGAATAAGGGAGCCTCCACCTGAGACCCGATCCGACCAAAACAAGGTTTCACCCGACCCGATATATAACTTAGAAACCTGACCCGACCCGAAATAATAAAAAAATAATTTTTATTCAATAAAAACAGTGACTTAATTGGAAAAAAAATTATATATAGAGGGTATTATTGTAATTATTCTTAAATATATAAGGTAAAATTATATATTTTTTCGGGTTAGATCAGGTATTTTTCACCCTAAACCCAAACCTGACTGAATATCACACTTAAAAAAATCTGACCCGACTCGGCCTGGCCCAGACCAGAATTTTTTTTTAAAAAATCCGACTCGATCGGGTCAGAACCCATCGGATCGGAACCCATCGAATTCGGGTCTCATGCCCATCCTTAGGTACAAAACGGTCATTAAATTTTATTGAATTGTTACATAAGGGTCATTGAATTTATCAAGCTTTTACAGTTATTATAACAGATCTTTTGGTTGGTACGGAGATTTGGGTTCTTGACAACTAAATGAACACCTGAATGGAGTACATGATTTGTGTTACGCAGGACGTGCATGTCGACTATGGGTATCTTGTATTACAGAATCGCGCAAAGGTCTCTAGGCGAGGGACACTGGACGAGGAGCAAGTAGTAGTAGTAAACTAATTAAAAATTCTACTGTCTGTCATTGACTTGTTGCCCATTCTTTCCCTTGGCGGCGGTTGGATTTGAGCACACTTATCTCAACGTCTTTGTATCTACTTCGGATTTAATTACAATTTCTTTTCTCGGACAACACAGGATTCTATCTTCTAATCACTAATATATAAATTTCCACTTACAGTATTACAATATCAACTTAATTAAATTTATATACGTGAGTTATTATTTAGAATATAATTATTGAAAAAAAATTTATAAACAATGTTAAGACGAGGACGGGTATCATGAAATTACTTTTAAAAAAATTAAAAGATAAACAAATAAAGCATTTATCATCTTAAATTTTTTGTTGAATTCATTTTCATCAATAGTATATCAGATAGTTTAAATATATACAATTGATTAATATTTGTATAAATCAATTTTGAATAAGAAAGCTATTTTATAGTTTTTTTTTAGCAAATTCTAAATTTAGTTCTGGCCGTACCTAGACGGGAGGGGTAGGGTAAGCTCTAAGAGAAGCAATGAGAGTCCTCTTGGTGGGTCTAGGAACTTATGACTTAAAGAAATACGAGAGAACAAAGATGAACAATTGATTAAATATGTTTGCTCGAATTTTTATAGACTCCTTAATCTTATTCGTGGAAATTAATATATAGCCAAACTTTGAAATAGGAATAGAAATACGTCGAAAGAAACTTTTGCTTCGTAATTACGACATCAATCTTTAGTTTAATTTATTATTATATCTTCTAAAAAAATACAAATCATCATAAACACGGCAATTTTCTTTAATGCAAGATTATACATGTATATGAATTGTATACGTACACATAACATAACCTCACCGCAATAGCAAAGTATCAAATAATTATCCATCCGGGCAAAGCACGGCTTCCGGAGATTTAGGATCTGGAAAGAAAACGAAAAAGAGAATCAAAATTCTTAGATGCTGCAGTCAGATCCTTGTGATCTGCCCCTGATCTCGACTTTTATTTTCATCATGATTACGGTGTTTATAATGAACAAATGGCTACTTCGACAGTCATTCGTTTTTGACTGATACAGTATCGGTAACATCGATGCTCTCGAAAATGTAATTGAACAAGGGCATAACAAGAACAATATCGAACCTGAATGATCTAACTCTGAAAAATGCAGGGAGTTTGCTTCTTCATGCACGATTGATGTCGCTTAAGTGGTTCGGAATTTCCACTTCACTATCCAGAGGCATGTACTGTGCCATTATAGCTCTGATTTCGGAATCCATGTACGACTACAAAACAAGTAAAATTAGGCAAAAGAAGTCCAACTATGATCTATGCTATACCAATCAAACACCCTCATTTCCATGCACTTGGATCAAAACCAAGCCTTCCCGTAAAAGGACTCGGTTATAACAGTCACTTCCCTTGCCAACCAACATGCAGTTCAGAGCTCATGTTGTAGGCTTATTTTATAATGTAATGCATCAACTTACCCTTAATCGATATTTGTAAACAAGATAGGCGCCGCCACCAGCCATTGCCATACCGATCAAAATGGCCCATATGGCAGCCCACGCTGATCTTACTTCGGTATGGGCCTTACCTGAGATAGAACAAGGGTTTGATATCAAAACACTAATGATATGTTGTATATTCTGAATAAAGTTGGTTCGAGTTGCAAACCCCAGATGTGCCAACTCACTTATGCAGGTATCATGGTCCCTGATATACAGAAGATCTCCACTGCAAGTGCATTCGTAACTTCCCCAGGTATTCTTGCAGCTACATTCAGGGCACTGACAGGCTTTCTTCTCATTGCATTCATCAATATCTGCATGATGGACAAGGCAGAAATATAAAATTGATATAGTATTCTCATACAACTCGGACTCGGATTGAAATTGTAGGATATGATATGCTCAACTTTTTCCAACTTTTTTGCAGGCATTTGGAGTCCTTAAAAGGTCATATCTCCATACCAATCTCCGTAAATGTGTTGGGTAAAGTGTTGGACATGTATACTTCAAGAAAAATGAAAATTTGGTACAACATAGAAACATTAAAAAATTCAAGTTTCATGCTAGTTTCTTCATCATAAGAATGAAGTAGGTGCTTTCAAGATGTTCGGTAGCGGACAGGTTCTCACTCCACATGACCTATTGGTGAAAATAATTCAACTCAAACCAGGTTTTGATTTTTGAGATCCTAATTACAGCCGGAGCCATATACAAGGATGGAACCAGGATTATATCTCCGTCACTGCATACATACATACACATATATTCATTCAAGGCTCACCTTGGCAACTCTTGACACCATCACCTTTAAACCCTGGAGGACACTTGCATTTAACATCTCCTTTATCCTGTTCAGATTCTTGATCAGAACATAAACTTATTTTCACAAGGAAGAATAAAAGAAAAACGGAAGGAGCTTGTAAATAATAAACTCAGCTACTAACCAAACACGCAGAGAATGCAATTCCATGCCGTGACTCATGCCAACAACCTCCGTTATTAATCGTGCACCTTCCAGGCCCACCGGCTGAATGACAAGAAGAAACAGAATATGAGTAAAATACAAATCCATGTTACACGAACTCAATTGTGAGTGTTGAACATGGAAATGTTCAGTTTCATCCCCAAAATTTCCATGTACTTAGGGAGTCCTTTTATGATCATATCTCCATATACATTTTTAGATACATATCGTACACGGTAGTAAAGTCCTTTCTCAAGAAGAATGCTTCAATGCTCTTTATCAAGAAATATGCAAACAAATAATATAGTCAATATGGGGCTTCAAAACGAAACACAAGTCATAAAAAACAAATCAAGCTTTTTTCACATGTGGAATAGGCTACACACTATGGTACTCAGACTTGAGTGTAAGTATCAAACACGGATATGCATCAGGCACGGGTTATGCTTATTTTTTTAAAATTAAATATTTAGAGCGTCCTTAGACAGTCATATTCCCATATCCATGTCCAAATATGTGTCAGACATGGGTGTTGGATATAATAGGTACCTTAGTTAAAATGATGAGTTAGAGAAACATACGATACATGCATCCAATAATATGCCCATATCAATGGCATGAATCACAACCGAACGTTAACTCGGTAACTTAACACTAAACATTAACTTTGAAGTAAAAACTTTATCTATGCAAATAAAATTATCAATAATAGAATCTCGATTCTCACGTTCACAGTGATTATAACCATCTCCTTTGAATTGAACACCATTAACCAAAGGACATTCGCAAATTCTTCCTCGAAATGTATCCTATGAAGCAAATCAATATTCATATAAGTTCATGATGTCATAAGCATTTAGAGAACCTTTATCAAAAATGTTTTAATTCATACCTTGCAGGCTGTGAGATTCGCTGCTTTATCTTGCCAACAACCACCATTGTTTTCCAAGCATTCATTCGTCTCCACATCTGTAACAGAAGTAACCGCTTTCATTCGTGTTTCAATAACAACTGGACAATAACTTGAACTACTACACTTCACTTCCAAGAGCCTAACCTAGGCTATGTTGCTCAGTCTAAGGGGTATGTGTTGGATATTGGCATATGTCTGACACAGATATGTACAATGCTTTTAAAGTTTTTCCATGTATTCAGAGAATCCGTAGAGGCTCATATACCCATAATCATATCTGAAAATGATTAAGACGTCGGTTTCAAGAAAAATAAAGAGCCGAGAAACATAGACCCTCTGTATCTTTGGCAGAAGTGGACATCTCACAACACAAATTCATTAATTTTTTCCTCGGAACTTCATGACCACACAGGACAACCTAAGTGGAAACAGACTAGAAGACTTTGTAAGAAAATATAACATGAAAAACTCACCACTAGTTAAACAAGAAGCCGGTTCAGTAGTCTCCTCAAAGCCAGCACAAATGGCCTTCAAAACAGCACTTTTGGCCAGCTTTCCTGCATGCATATATGTCAGAAAAGGAAAGCTCCCAAAATGTTAGCTGGGAATACATGCGTGTACACGAACCTCGATACTGGTGATTGTTGACAACAAGGGTAGGCAACATCGTAACATCACCCCTAGATCCTTTCCCCACCTACGAAAATGTTTCGTTTAGAAAGGTTTTCAACGATTAACAGCTTCAAAAGGTCAAATATGACAACAAATCCATAACAAAGGAGTAGTAAAACATAAATGTCTGAGAATGAGAGTGTTACTTGGGCATCTTGTTCTTCTTTTAGAACTGGATTATCCGCATCAGCATCAGGATCTCCCATACACTTTTCTATCTTTTTACCATCAAGCCCTGGATGAATGACAAAAGAACGTCATCAATTAGTCATTACTAGTTTCCGACAATATTTTGATTCTTGACAGTGCTATTAGTGGCAATTTTAAGTGAAACAAAGGATTCTTTTAATTAATTGTTTACCAAGAGATCTGATAACACTGTCCGCACATTCCTTGTTATATTTTTTCTCCTTCATGGGACATCGTATTTGAAAGTCTGTCACATAGTCCCACCACACCCAAGGCCTATTGGTCTCGTTTCCCACTCTGAAAACACAAAGCTGCCTTAAGTTCTCAATAACAACATCTTTTCCATCATAACCCGAGCTAAAATCTTGTTCGGGATCCGGTGCACAATATCTTCCATGATTGATGCATTGAGATTTGCACTGTTGGCTTAGGGTGAAAGCTTGAGGGCAGTACCAAGTTATATAATGGGGTGTGAATTGAGTATAGCCGCCTTTTTCGAGTACCTGAGCAACACCCTTGAAATCCTTCACAAATCTCATCAGTATATCACACTTAAATCCGCATTCATCATTGCTGTTGGTCCATAACTCATACTCAACACGGTCATCAGGGTGCGGAACAGCCTCTCGCCAATCAAGATTAACATTGACCATATCCCCACCATTGATTGCTTTCTTTAGAATATCACCGAAAGTTTTCTCGATAAGGGCAGATGGAATCGTTATATTTTCAATGTATTTCGCAGAAGAACGAACCTCTTCAGGTGTGTCCATGGTTATTAATGCTTCTTCAATGTCATCCGCAACGAGCATTGCAGAAGCACCAGCCTGCTGCGCATTCCAAACCTTTAAAGCAAAGAAGCAATCTGGAAAATAGTACAACAAAGTAAGGTTCTCAATGCAAGCTCGGTATTTGTGGGGGGGGGGTTGGGAACTAGAGAAAGATTAAATGCAGGACCATAACTTAATTCAGATTGAAACAAATTTTACAACCTTAGCAGATTGAAACAAAGGGAATGGTGAACTGATACATGTTCTTGAACGTACATCATCATCACCTCAGATTATCCTCATTTCTTTAATAGTTTAATGACATTATAGCAATGCAACTAAAGTACTTAATATGGAGGTAAACTATAAGCCATTGTCATGAAATTCTTTGGTCAACAGCAATTTTCAGCATCTTGAAACACATGTTTATAATCATACATCTATTTGAGAACCATTCTAACTCAGATCATGCACTCTAAATCTATACTACTTGGACTCGGATTTGAATTTCAAATACAAGTAAGAGTCTGACCCCTATAGTTCAAATTTTTTCCTAAAATTTTTCATGCATTTGGAGGATCTATGAAAAGTCATATACTCCCATACTCATATCTGGGATATGGATCTACCAAAGGTATTACAAGAAAAATGAAGATTCGGAGAAACATATCTTGGAACAACTTTTTTAGAAACCTTCAAAGGTGATCCCTATGAAATAATGGGAAATGGATAATAGGGGAAAAAACTCAAATTTCAGAAAACAACCACTAGGATAAAAAGAGAAAAAGGCATCCTACCAGACGACTTAATCAGGCTAAAACAAGCAAGTTAATACATAAATAACTATGTGAATTCTCAATCAGCCAAATCAAACAAACTACAAAACTCAAAAGCTATGGAAACTGATAAACCAAAACTTCTTCAAATGAACTAATGAATTATAGACACACACATATATGTCACCTAAATCCAAATGGGTAAAAGTAATAAACTCAAATCCCAGGCTAACGATTAAATTATTGCCTAAAAAGGGAAAAACCTTAAATCAACCAAACACGACAAATCAAACATTAAACGTTAAACCTAATATTAGAGCAAGAATCCCAATTTGAAACAAATCAAATTATCCAAAAAACACACACACAAAAGTTCCTCATCAGTCACCCTACAGCGGACAAAATATAGCTTAAATAAAAAAATCCCAGAGTATTTTTTTTCTTTTCTAATTAAAAGGCGAAATGATGAAAAGGGTACCTCCACGATCGACCAAAACAAAATTAGGAAGAGAACCAGGCTTGGATTTGTATGAAATGCCGAACTCATCAAAGCTCTTACAAGCCTTTCTGTTTTCCTTAGGATAAACCAAAGCACCAGCCATGCTTCCACCATATTGAGGTACCCCAAAGTTCCCAATTGCACTGACGTAGGTTCCTTTAATCTTCTCCGGCGACGTCACCTTCAAGCTGTTCTTTTCCACCACGAATCTCGCGTGACAATTCCCTATAAAAAACAACAACGTAAACCATTGAAGAAGATGATGGAATCTTTGTAGCTCCATCTCTGTTTTTTAATTTTTATTTTCAGGGATTTGGATTTGATGAGTTTCAAAGACGATACTGAATAAAACGAAGATGAAGATCGTGTGCGAAAAAACACAAAAATCATTAAATAGTTAAATGGAGGGGAAATGGCCTTTAGAATTTAGATATCAAAATCAAAGAGTCGAAACCTTTGATTTTTCAGAGAATTGATTTTTCAGAGAAACATTTTATATTTTTATTCGCTGAAATGTTGGATCAACAAGTGAAATTTGGACACGATGCAAAACGGAATTTTAGTCTGAGATTTGCGAGGCAGATCATCGTAATTCGTAATTTCTTATAAAAAATCGAATATAAAATTAAAGGGTAAATAACACAAATGGTCTTCTGACTATAATAAGTTGCTTTTTTTAATCCTCTTACTATTGAAAGTTACAAAATGGCCTCTCAACTATAAGGCATGGCTTTGTTGAGTCCTCAAACTATTAAAAGTTATAAAATAGTCATTTGATTATTCATATATTCTAAAATTGTACTTTTCCGTTAAAAATTGACGTCAGTCTAAGTTGGACATTAACTGCTAATTGAGAATTGAGATATGATAAAATCTGATCCATAACTGTTTGAGTTATATTTTGTGGATCGAATCTTTGCTTACATTATTTTATCGAGCATGTACTTAAAAACAACGACGGTGTCAGTAGACATCGTTAAAATATGATTTTATCATATCTCAATCAACAAGTTAACGTCCAACTTAGATGGTCATTAATTTTTTAACGGAAAATGACGAGTTTTGAACACAGAATAGTCATGTGAATATTTTGTAACTTTTAATAGTTGAGAGCTTCAAAAAATCATTGCTCTATAGTTGAGGGACCAGTTGTGTATTTTACGCAAAATTAAACTACTAAATTATACAAATATACTTAACTATCACAATATTATTTCTATCAAATATTAACGATTAGTTGTTTGATTTATAACAATTGAATTGTTGAGTAATCTAATTTTAAAAATTAATTTGATGGTTAAAATATAAGCAATCCTATAATTTCAAACTATCTAGGTATATTAACGATCGACTTGCATTTCATTCTTTGTTATTTTCGAGTTAAATTAGACTTTAATTTCTAGACATAATGCATATCATTGTGTCTTTTAAAACTTACACCCCAAAAATAACATTGTTTTGGATTCTCGACCTGAATATATGCTTTTTTACATTTTGGTTATTAGTTTTGGGCTTCGCAAGGTACTTTAATTTTCTTATCATGTGATTTTAATCCTCTGTATACAAAATAATAACTATTCAGTTATACCTAATTTAATCAAAGGACTTGAATGCAATTTACCTACAAAATGTTATTTTACTTTTGAACCAATGGCTAACCCACAACCTGAAGCAGAGAAATCAGGAATAAGCATGTGTGTCAGTGAAACGTTGTCGTTTAGACTGCTTCCCAAAAAAATACTTTCGTTGTCATCTAACACAACTCGTCATCCATTCTCTATAGACACGGCCCACTCAAATATCGTGAAGAATACAAAAATACCTAACGATTGGCTTTAATAATCGTTGGCGCGTGTAAACCAGCTAGGAACCTGAATATCCTTCGTGTTTATATATATATACACTTTAAGATTATTTTATATTTATTGATTTGAATATCGAGGGAATTCAATCATTGTAACTAAGCCTATAAAAGGCGTCCCGAATTTTTATTATTTTCCTCCGCTGATCATTTCAGCTCAAATTCGGTACCCTAATCAGTTTTTTTATTTTTTTTCTTTTTATCGTCGGAAATGGGATTATGGGAAGTTTTTTCAATTGGCTTCGAAGGTAAGTTCTCTTCCTTGTTTTGTTAATGAGAAAACAAAAGTGAAAATGTTAAGAAATTGATTATTTTTTTAATCTTAAAGTTGTAATAGAACTCAGGCCAATGTCTTACGAGAAAAATGAAAAGGTGATTGCTTGTATTCGTTCTTTACTTATTTTATTACTGATCTCGGTTTTTAATTTGATGGTTAATAGTTGGATTAACTATATAAATGTCTGGGACCAGTACGGTGGTGAAGTGGATTTTTTATATATAAGTTTTTTAATTGGATTTTCTTCCCTTTTAACGGGGCTGTGTTTTGATGCTAAGAACATCCACTTAGATACGCATGGTTGTGATTAAAAGACCAGATTAGAAGTGTTTATTTGTGATAGGTGGTTGATGGGTAATTGAATTTTGTCTGAACATTGCTGCCTAGATATTTCATAGATTGTTCGCTAGCTACACTGTTGAAGTGCTTGAATTTGGCAACCTGTAAAGATTGTGAAGAGATGTTTTCTCATCTATGCTCAGGTGTTTGGGCATGTTTTTATGCTGGATTTCTGTTTATGTGTCTTTGTGGAGGTATTATGTCGATTATCCACGGAATTCTGTTTCTTTAGCATTGCATTTGGGAAATGATAATTGCAGCTAGTGGCAACCACAATGGTTGAGCGAGAGTGTTCGGTTGTCTTGCTGGTTCATTCGAGATAATGATATCTGGTTACAGTGTGATCATATAATTGATCTCTGTAGTGTCATGTACTGATTTGGACAATGGACAAATAGGAGAATTAAACAAGTGGCAGGCTTATCCTAAAGTAGTCTTCATTTAGGTCTAGCTGGTTTTTTGCAGTGAATTTTTCAGTGGTGATAATTAACTGACTAACCAACCGAGTTCACTTGTGCGAGTGAGGAATAAAAACCAACCATCAACTTCCCACTTTTGATGTGTATGAAAATAGATAAAATGGAAGTGGTCCATCACTAACCTAAAACGCGCTCTTAATGGCCCAAACCCAACGTCATTGCACGCGTTACACTGACTGAACAACTAGAATTCGAATAGGAAGTGTTCTGCAAGTTTTCTTTTTCCTTTTTTGGTTGGGATTGTCCAAACTAGAGACTGCCAAGTCATGAATTACGCAAAAAACAAAGGATTGCATTATAATTTTGAAAGAGCTCTCAGTGTGTTCTGTTTTTCTTTTGCATATTAATCCAATCTATTTGAATTAAATGTCCTGCATGTTCACTCTTATTTCTTTCTCCTTGTAGTTTCTTTTTCAAGCAAGAAATGGAGTTATCTTTAATAGGTCTCCAGAATGCCGGAAAAACATCCCTTGTTAATGTCATTGCTGTAAGTGCATTTATGTGAGAGTTATAACTTTTTTTTGTTTGTTAGCATCCTATCTCTTTTAGCTTGGTCCTGACAGCTTAACAGTTTTGTCCGCATCTTATTTCAAGACTGGTGGATATAGTGAAGATATGATACCGACGGTAAGTCACATGACAAAGAACCGATATGAAAGATTATTCTTGGGAATGTTAATTCACTTGCAACAAGTTTTTGTTTTCATGTTCTTTTGTTTCTTGTAATTTTCTTTCTGTTTGCAGGTTGGGTTTAACATGAGGAAGGTAACTAAAGGAAATGTCACAATAAAGTTATGGGATCTCGGGGGTCAACCAAGGTTCCGGAGTATGTGGGAGAGATACTGCCGTGCTGTTTCGGCTATCGTGTATGCTTTTCATACTTTTTAACTATTATTTTTTCTTTATAGCATGAACTTGGAACACATGACATCGTTAATGTTTCTATGATATGCATGTTCAAGTATGTGATAGATTAGGAAAACTAAAAGCCAATGTAACTACTAGGGAACATGCACTTCATACCTTCCGAGTGATTTATGCTCGGGTTAACCATGTTAAACTAAAAGTACAAGTGAATTGTTAGGTAAAAAGGGAAATTAGAAAAAAAAATGTTGATATGTATGTGCTAAACATATCCGAATATATAATTGAAGGCAATAAAAGGTGGGAAATTATCTTGATAAATCCTGGTTCACTACTGAGCTTATATCTTAGCATGGCCTTGAACAAAATTATGGTTATCTAAATTCTTTCTCTCGTCTACTGATTGTTGTAATTCCCTACGCACAAATTTAAACCTTTTCGATGTATACTAGCAAATTAGCAATGTAAGCGTCTTAGAGTGATATATGCTATATTAGCCGGATAGAAATACATGACCTGCACATCATCTTTCGTATTGGTAGTCAACTAGTTCTTACTCCAATTTTCTGCAATCTACAGCTATATTAGCCGGATAGAAAATACATGATGTTAAGTAAATCCTCAATGAATGGTATTCCCCTGCTGGTACTCGGAAACAAGATCGACAAACCAGAAGCCTTGTCCAAGGAAAATTTGACAGAGCAAATGCAAGTAAAAGAATTACACGTTAAAATCTTCATTTTAGCCCCCGACATAACCAAACCAACGGTCATTAATTTGTTGAAAACTTGTCCTTGATGTTGTGCAGGGGCTGAAGTCTATTACGGACAGAGAAGTTTGTTGCTATATGATTTCATGCAAGAACTCGACCAACATCGATACGGTGATTGATTGGCTTGCGAGGCATTCAAAATCAAAGAATTGAACCCTCAAAACTTAACTTTGCTGTCTTTCTAACAAGGTTTGTCCGTGGCTGGGACCATGTCTTAATTTTCCAACTTGGCTTGAATCACTTGTATTTATATATAGTTTGGTGGGTGAGTGGGGCATAAATTTGTTTGATCTTGTTCGTGTACAGAATATTGAGTTGTAAACAACTGAACATGGGTAAATCGTTTCGTCGTTTGAATCGAATAAAAGCCTTTTGGATGATTTTTTTTGATCTTTTTCCCTTACGGATTAAAATTCGGATTGATTATCCGTGAGGTCACAGTATAATGATAAGATAACTTTTGAGTATTTCGAGATTTTAAGTAGAGTTTTTTATATTTAAATGTTAACGTGTCTTCTTGTAATTATGATTGTTTTTGTGAGCAATTAATTAAAGTGAAAAAAGACCATTTTAATAGATTTTTTTGTTGTTGCAAATATTGGATATGTGAACAAATAATTAAAGAAAATAATAATAAAATGTGTACATGTTTAGGCATGGACAAATTATACTATTGTCATTAAAATTTGAACCAAATCTACTTTAATCATGAACAACATTAAATCGTAAACTAAATTCAATATTTAATATGTGATTGATACTTTTTTCTATGTAATTTAAATTGTAGTTAACATAAAATATTTTATAAAATAACAATGTGTTTAAGGGGATTTGAAGCTAAAAGGGTAAAGAAATAATTCAACTAATCTAATATGTGTTTTATTGTTGGTAATATCAATTTAGATTACACTGTGTTTAATAAGTTTTTATATTTTAAATTAAATTAAATTTTTATTAAGCCAAGGTGTTACAAAATAGTAGTGTTTTAAGTACTCTCGATCATTTGACAATGAACACTCAATCACCCTACTGCAGCCGTTGATACTCGAACATGCGACCTAGGAAAAATAACGATTCCTTCAACCACCGAGGTAAATTGATTCATGCATCACCTAACAATATATCAATTCGACAATTTTTAACTAATTAATAATTTTAAAATTTTATATGATATATAGATGTTTAAATATATTCTAATTTTCAATATTTAAAAAAATAGATGGCTTAAATAAAAAGTGTCTAAATTATCGATGTTCACGAATAAGTGCCTAAAGTATTTTTTGACTCATCATAGTGCTTCGTTATAAACGTTATCATTTTAGGTGCATGGACGGTCAACAACATTAATTTTCTCTGTTAAGTGACACATGTCATAATGTCATTTTGGAAATTTAATTTAAAAATGAAATTTTAAAATATTTTATTTTCAAAAAACTCATTTAAAAAAACAAAAATCACAAACTCTTAAAATTTCTTATTCTATTACCCATTTATCAGCGACCAACCACCCATATTCACCGACCACCCAATGAGAGGTCACATCTTACTATAATCTCAAAACCCAAATTTCTCAAGTCCCTAAATTTAATCCCTTATCCTAAAATCCTAATACTCAATTCCTTAAATTCCTTTGGTTGATCGTGATAAACGACTGTTTAATCAACCGTGACAACCAACCATTTAATAGGTCGTTTGGCCATGGAAATGCCATGAAGCATGGAAGGGAGGAGGAGAGGGAAAGGGAGACGTGGGTAGTGGATTTTTTTTAATAATAATTTTATTTTTTAAAAAAATTAAACTTTTAAAATTATAAGATTTTGATATGTGTCATGTACAGAATTTATTCATAATCTAAATAATTAAAATATAATATTTAAGACACTTAAATTGATCAGAGCGGCAATTTTGTCTTTTATCTCATAAACTACCGAGCTTCTACTGTGGAATACATTTTGAGCCTAGTATTCACTCTTTGCAAAGCCCTTCCCCTTGACCGCCAGTCGTTCCCGCTGAAAAAGCCAAGTAAAGTCACTTGAAATAAAGCGAAAAATAACTCGAAAGCAAATTCAATATGCTAATTCCTTTTCCCCTTCTATTTTCCAGTCATCCAAACGGCCTGTCAACTTCCTCACAAACTAACCTTTAATCGCCTATATATAAGTTGCTGCTATGGAGTTCGACGACTCTCGAGTTATTTTCTGTATACAATGCACTAGCTCTTGCAGATTTTTGCTCCACACAATAGGCAAAAGTTTCTCGCCAGATGAGTTTGTAATCTCTACTTCATTTTCAGCGTACATCTAATGTTTTGCAATTACGATGATTTTTTTTGGAAACCTATCAGAGCCAAGGGTTAGTATAACTTCATTATTTTTTTTGGACAAGGATAACTTCATTATTTATATTTTTTGAGAGAGGATTTATTCTTTTTCCTGATTACTTGCATGAATTAGGTTAACATGTCGGCAATTAATGAAGTAGCAGAAGTAGTATACTGATTACTTTTATATTTATTTATTTTATGGGTACTCATTTGTTAAGGTGTCTTGTCAGAATACAAACTAATCTGAACTTCGTCTAGTATTATAATATTGCGCAGTACGCACTTATTTTGAGTTGAATTTGTACTGGACTCTTATGATCAACGATTTCAAGGTGTGGAAATTGAGAAAGTTAAAAGAAGGATTGAAGGCATTCCGAGAATTGAAATCAGAGACCCTTCACCCTGAGCTCTAATCGAAGTTCCCATTTTTTTATGTTTAAAGTAGTCAGTTTTTAGTTATTAGATCTTTTATTCAAGGTCTCTATAAACTTCAATGACTATATTACTGTTCAACAAATTGTTAGTGCTGCCTGACTGCTTAAAACAGCTAGTTTAAAGATCACGTGGATAATTAGTTCCATTGTCCCCTGTTCATTAAACGTTCTCTCACAATAAACTTCTGTGTGCAGGACTATGCGAACAGAATGCCAAGGTATTCTGTTGATAAATAGGTAAAGTGCTATATACTTTGGCTACTGAAGCCATTTGGTAATTCCACTTAGGGTCCTGAATGATTTATCATTGACCAGGTGTTGGTTGCACCTTTGCAAGGGCCAGGCCATACTGTCTATGCGGCCATTTCTTTTATTCAAGCAGAAGTTGGACACATACTTGCATGAGACCACATTAGAATGCTAAAAAAATTATTTCTTTGAAAGATGACTCTAGGCTAGATTCCTCTTGGCTAATGTTTAAAAATGGCAACAGGATACTAAAAGAAAAAGGGGGTGGGGCATTCCGAGAATTGAACTCGGGACCTCTCGCACCCAAAGCGAGAATCATACCACTAGACCAAATGCCCATTTCTGATGTTTTAATCAACCTCTCTTTAATTACAAGCTCTTTGTTTGAAGATTATGCTAAACCTTTATGTCTAGCTTTTTACTTGTTAGCACGTTATTTTCTGTTAGAATACTAGTTGAGTTCTTAAACTAGTGGTTTTTATAATGTTCTTATTGGATACATAGGCAGCTCTTGACTGATCAGTAAACTGAATCCCGAAGTCTATTATGATGCATGCAGATATGCTATCTACTTTAGCTGCTTAAGCTAATTTGTAATTCTAGTTAGGATCCTGAAATGAATCCTGCCTTGATGAGGTTCTGTGCCTTTGTAAGGCTCTGCTGCTCTGTTCAATATAGTCATTGCACAAAAAACATTTAAATGAGGTTTTTTGGTTAAAAGATCGAGCATAGGGACTTCTCTTTCACTTGTTTTTCTTGCGGTAAACATTTTTATTCATCAAAGTATTTTAAATCTGCTCTTCAAATGTCGGTTGAGTACATGCTTATGTATGTGATTCCCTCCTTTGGCAGGGTTAAGGCAGGTCTTTCTTATATGAAGACTTTTAGATCAAACTTAAACAGAATTGGCGCCATTTGATTATTTGGTGTCCTTTGCTGGACAAGTTTAAGTCCGAATACAGGTACTTTGGAGTTCGAAGGAAACAAAGAGTCGGATTCTTAGACAGCTCTTCAAATGCATATTCTTCTGTTTATAGGGTGTCCTTGTTGAACAGGTTTAAGTCAGATTTTCATTTTCAGATGACTATAAGAATAAAGGTACAAGAAAGAAGCTATTGACTGCAGTAGATTTTTTTTTGCTCTCTGCAAAGGAATCTTGTCAGGAACCAAATGGATCTTAAGGTAGTAGGCCTCTATATTATTTTACTTGTAAAGTTGACTTAGCATCAGATTCTCTGGTCACAAACTTGAGTGTAAGGGAACAACTAATAAAAAATAAACTGTGGGAGCATTCCGAGAATTGAACTCAGGACCTCTTGCACCCTATTGTTCCATAAACCCGTAGTTTGGATGTTACATAAACCTTATTTGTTCCATAATTTCCCAATTCGTATAACTTTCTAGTTTGTACCCGAGTCAGGATTGTCCTGAAAAAGAATGATTCATCGTGAATATCTTTAGTCAATGACTTGCTTTAAAAACGGAGAAAAATAGCAAAAGCGAGCAAAACACAGATTATAAGTAGGGCAATCCTACGAATACGCAGCCCGAAATTTACTGCAGACCACATCCGGGAGAACAAATTGACCTATTAACATAAACACGACAAACAATGTCGAAGAACAAAGAGTAAAAAGAAGGTTAATATAATCACTTGATCTGTCTTGTCTTTTATCTTTGTTAAAATGGCATCGTTTGTTGGGACACAACAGAAATGCAGGGCATGCGACAAGACTGTCTATTTGGTTGATAAGCTGACGGCTGATAATCGGGTTTTTCACAAGGCTTGCTTTCGTTGCCACCATTGCAATGGCACTCTCAAGGTAATAATATTCGTAGATGATAAAATCTGTTTTTCAGTCTTCAGGTTTATTTGTATTTGTGTTTTTTAAATGAAATTTCATTTTCAGGTAAGAAAAGAATTTTATATATTGAAATCCGAATATCATATTTATTTATTGTGGTGATGGAATGAATTAATTGAACTAAAATCTAAACTGATTTAATGTTGCATTTTGGTACCATTTGTGTCTTTACCCATTTTATTAAGTGATGAATGAATTAATTGAAACTGTTTTAGTGTTGCATTGTTGGTAGTATGACAAACTAATTTGTAATATATATATTTCTTGGTTACAATTTGTAATATTTTTAGTAGTTAAGCGATTTTATTATTTAATTTCGCAGCTTAGCAATACAACTCCTTTGAAGGAGTGCTGTATTGTCGATCAACTGTTCAAGAGAACCGGCAGTCTTGACAAGTTTGAAGGTATATAAATATAGTTGGTATGATTATTGAATATCCGTAGTTATGTGTCTTTTTATTACTCTTACAGGAACACCAAAGATCAAACCTGAGAAACGTGTTGAAAATGAGGTGATTATTTGCAAACAAAAGCAATATTTATCTGATTAATACGGTTTACTTAAATCCGAAATTTAGCTATATATCTTACCTTTGAACTATGGATCCAACAGAGTATACTGAAACTGTCGAACGTGTTCGCTGGCACCAGAGAAAAATGCAAGGCCTGTGATAACACTGTCTATCCAATTGAAAGGGTAATAAATTAATTATTTTCTTTTAAGAACACTAGTCGGATTATCCGTTCAGCTCGATAATGAATTCGGATGTGGATACGATATCTTTAAGAAACAGGGTACCATTAGATCTAATCCGGTTGAAATCCAAACTTTCAGACTTGTTATTTATTTTTCTCTTCTTGTTGAAGTTACGGTTAATGGGACACCATACCACAGGGGCTGCTTCAAGTGTTGCCATGGAGGATGCACCATTAGTCCATCAAATTAGGTAGCACATGAAGGGAAGCTTTACTGCAAACACCACCATATCCAACTCTTCAAAGAGAAAGGAAACTACAACCGACTCGAGACAATCGCCCGAAAAATTCCATCAATACTTCATCGACAGGAATTGTCACCGAATTGTAGGCCGCTTATGCATTGCCGATAGCAAGTCCGACCATCTATGTCACTTGGTTACATGTCGGCTTACCAATGGACAGATTTGAAATTTCTAAACTTATCTTCCATTGACGAGGTTTTAGCAAATTTTTGGAATAAGATTGGTGGCTTGTGGAATTAGCCCCTCTTGTTTCGTTAATTTCTCTCTCTCTCTCTTTTAAGTCTTTTTTTTAATCTAATTTTGAATCAAATACTCTTCAGTCACTTTAGATTACATTTGTAACTCTAATTCTCTTTTCGCCTTCAATTTTTTTCTTCATATTTTTATCTCTTACTTTTACATTTTATTCGATTTGGTCTGATGACTATTATTTTTACAATTTATTCCTTTTCGTCGATTTTAATTCTTCATCCTTTCCTCATATTATATCTTCAAAACACATTCTTGATTCTTTAAAAATAACATTATAAATATTATAATTTTAGACATCATTTGATTTATTAAATAATATTATAAATTTTACTAATACACGTGGAAAAAAATATAAAAGTTACACACATATATCATAAATATTAGAGATATTTGTTTAAATTATAAAGACGAAAACCATGACACTAAAATTAATTATATTTAAATTTAAATAAAAATTTGAACGAATATATTCTATGCAATAATTTTAAATATAATATAAGTGATAAATAATATTTATAAATTTAATATTTTTTTCACTCGACTAGATTGAATATTTTCCTAATTAAAGTTACATCAATTATTTCTATATTGCATTTTAGCCCGAACCCGGCGTTAACTGATCGCTACCGCACGTAACCTAGAGGAAATAGGGAGGAGATCGTCACTCTAGTTCGTTTCCCGCCAATTTCCCATCTACTCTCAACCATTTGGCGCGCTTTTCTACTCTGCCATTGGCCTTTTTTTAGGGGAAACAAAAGGAAAAAAAGAGAAAACGCCGTTTTAGTCCGAGTAATCGGAACTGTACACAAGAAAAGAGCGAAGAAATGGAAGTGGTTCAATCTCATGGGGAATCCAGTTCCAGCAATGTCACCGTTTCCACTCTTCCTCTCTACCGATCCCCACTTCACCTTGAAGTCCGTATCGAAGATTTCGAGCTCTTCGCCATGGATCGCCTCCAAGGTACCCTATTCTCCTATCTTATTATTTTTTAATGCTTTAATTTGTCAAGGGAACAAAATATCCTCGTACGGACATTTTAGATTTGCTTTAATATCTTTTGTTCACTGGTTTGCTACTGACGAAGCGTTATTAAAGAATAGGAATACAGATATTAGGTTTCAGTTTTATGACAGTTTCGAAAGGTAAATAGTTAATTTCATAATTAAAGGTTCGATGTTTCAGCTCCATCAAATCTCATGTTTATGTTTTTTGTATTATCTCATTCTTTTAATTGCTGGATGCAGTTCTTAAAGGTATCTCAGACGGATTGGGTCGTGGAAAGAAACCAGAAGAAATGGAAAAATTGGTATCACTATTGACTGTGCTTACATTCTCTGTGATAATTTAATTGTTTTCCTCACCAATTTCACATACTGGATTCCTCAGTGGCGGATCTTTGGAAAGCAAATATGAGACATCCACAAGCAATGAGGAAACGACAAGGATGTTATTCACACTTCGTTCTACGACTTGTGTACTGTAGAATGTAAGATGGAGATATGTTTTGATGTCTTTTCTCCTTTATTCTTCTCTAACTGTTTAAAATAATTACCATTATGATATTTTTTCTTGCAATGACTAGAGAGGAGTTAAGAAAATGGTTTCTTTCCATGGAGACTACCCTATTTAGCTACCGTTTTCGCCTTGAAAGCTCTGAGGCACAGGTAGCACGTGTTCATTTTTTGGTGTTGGGTTTTCTAGTTTATTAAGCTTATGCTGATTGCTTGTATGCTGATGTCATAGAGGGCATTGATGTCTGAGTTTAAGCTTCCCTACAAGGCAGTCAGCAATGCAGAATTTGAGGTAGTTTAGCTTCACTGTTTTCTAATTCCCTTGAGCTATTTGTTTTCAGCAAGATGCAATTGCTTGAACCTTATTACAGTAGTAGTACATATGGCGCCTTTTTTGTTTTCTATATATATTGAGTTCCTAGTAACTGGAGCCATTTTTTTGGGTAGAGTGTGAAGGATAATTGGGCCAAGTTGCACGCTCTATGGGTCAGACTTTAGCTGCTGGTATGAGATTACTGACTGGCTTCTATACCCATTTTTATCATGGAAGGCACAAGTTTTCTGTCTTATTACAACACTTCACATTTTGCATTAAGTCATTTTATCAGCATCTGACCTTTAAATTTTGTATTTTATCGCCGGGAAACCTCTCATATGACTGCTATATCCAGTTACAATCGGGCTTGACCAAATTTGTTGAAAACTAACAAAAAATATAAGTTTAGCATGTTATCTGATTGTTTATTTTTCTTTCTAAGTACTCGAAATATCTCTCCTGTTGAATCCATTGTGAATCATGAGCATTCATATCCTTGATTGAGCTTATCACTATTTGTTATTAAACTGTTAGGTTTTTGAATGAGAATGTTTCAAAGACATCCATTGATTTTTGTCTCCAGAATGTCCTCAATAATTAGTTTTCCTTTAGGTAATTTAGGTTTCATAGAAAATTTTCCATTCGTCCAACAATGTATGCCCAAGCCATAAAACTATGATTACCTTTATACTTTAAACCTGATTTGATCCTTTTTCTATATAATGATAGTGTTTCTTTTTTTTTCTTTGTCCTTTAAATTTTGCAGTTGATACAATATTCTACAAGGTACTACTGTGCTTTCTTGATTCTCTATGTTTCAAACAAAAAGCAGTGGTAGCTGTCCCTTGTGAAGAAGAATTGATTTGCCACTTGAAAGTCATCTCCTATAGCCATGTGTTAATATAATGTATTTACTTATTTCAATGGTACCAAAAATAGGTATGTAGATCGCTCTGGCCATTTGCCTGTATTTGTAAGCACATGGATGGAAAAATAAAGTGGTCGGGGTTAAACAGTTTTTTTTTTCTTTGTCCTTTAAATTTTGCAGTTGATACAATATTCTACAAGGTACTACTGTGCTTTCTTGATTCTTCTATGTTTCAAACAAAAAGCAGTGGTAGCTGTCCCTTGTGAAGAAGAATTGATTTGCCACTTGAAGTCATCTCCTATAGCCATGTGTTAATATAATGTATTTACTTATTTCAATGGTACCAAAAATAGGTATGTAGATCGCTCTGGCCATTTGCCTGTATTTGTAAGCACATGGATGGAAAAATAAAGTGGTCGGGGTTAAACAGTTTTAAGTATAATTATCATTCTCGGTTGGTGATGTGTGATTCGGAGAGAACACTGATGGACCCATAGTTAGTCTACGTAGGTCGGGTTAATCATTGGGTAAAAATCTGATTTAGTTAGATTTAACTGGCTTATTTGTGCATGCTTCCACCCTATGAAGTGCCCTTTGAAGAAGTTCCAGAACTCGTAGCTGGTCGTCGAGTGTTTATATATAAAGGGCATGCCTATGTTGCAATGAATCAGGTAGTAACTTTCTATTAATTTTTTAATCTTACCTGAAAAATTGAATACCATCAACCAGAGTCTGTATTCATACTTGCTATCCCCTTTTTTCCATTAATCTTTTCAGGGGGTTTCTCTGGCTGTCACACAATTTCAAAGTTATCTATCAAAGGCCCTCATTTTAACAAAAAGTTTCTTCTTTGTCCATTAAGTCTCCAGAATGTTGCCTTGTATTCATTTGTGAACGTCTGCATTGGTCTTTGTCAAGCATCGAGTATGTCTACCAAAGGCATACGTAAATGCACAAAGACACCATGATATAGGTTATCTATCAAAGGCACTCATTTTCTGCAAGCAAGATTGCAAATTGAAACTGGGCAAACGCCATGAAATTCATATAATAACCTTAATTTACCAGCATGGAGCTGCTGAAATCCATCTTATTAATTAATTTAATTTCTCTTGTGATGAACATCATATTAACATTCTTAAAAGATAAGTTATGTATCAAATCCAAGTGCTGCTGTTGAACATCATTTCCATTTTTGTTTTGCGATTTTTGCTTTGTTCATACGAATTTCATGGTGTTTTCCAAGTTTTAAATTGCAAACTTGCTTGCAGAAAATGGACATCTACTGTTAGAGAACGGGAGAAGGATCGGCTGGCTCCAGTAAGAATTGGAATGTGAACCTTGTTATTGAAATATCATTTGTTTGACATTGAATATTTCTTTTTCTACCTGATTTTGTTGTTTAGATTGTGGAAGCACTATGCACAAGTTATTTGGGTCCTGATTACTCTCAGGTACTTGTATATCATTGTATCAGCTCATCAACTAGCCTGATTATAGCTGTTTTATGTATAAGATCATTTTCTGAACTCCATTGCTGTATATTTTAGCCAAATGAAGTTGGGGAGATATCTGAAATTCATATTGCTAAGACTTCATTTCCTCTGTATGCGTCACTTATTTGAAAAGGTAAGAAAATGGATTCTGAAATAGGGTTAGCATTTTTTATTGTCTCTTCGTTTTTATACTAAAATAATTCTTCTATATCTTTTACTTTTCAGCTCAGAGAGGATCATCATTTAAAGCATGGTGGAAGGTTGCAATTAAGTCTTTTCTTGAAGGTTGTACTTTACTAAAGTGATTTGTCTTCAGTATAATTGCCGTAACAGTAGCATTATAAAGATCTTTCCCATGGAAATCAGACAATGGCAGGTACTCCTGTCTCATTGATGGATATGCATTATTCTTGCGTTCAGACATTTTGTTTGTGTTTATTAGTTTATTGTGGAAACCTGAAACCAATTGATAATAGGTGAAGAGGTTCAACCTCAATTAAATTTCAGTGCAAACTATAAACATAATTGATATGAGAGTCAAATTAGAAGCTGTAAATATTGCATGTTGATAAACCATGAAGCTGTTCTAGTTCTTTCCTCTTTTCTCATGATTCTTTGTTCTTCATTCCTCTGCTCAGGGTGTTGGGCTGAAACTTGATGATGCCTGGCATTTTGGAAAGCCGAGTTTGCACCAAAGGTAAGTGGCTTTCGTTTAGTGGTAGACGTTTTTTCTAACTATTTGGTTTCTATTCTTGACTACAAGACGTAAAAA